TAAATATTAGACCAAATCATTCCAAAATGATGATATAAATCAGAAACTCAAGATAAGCCCTTAGAGAAATAACTAACTTGTCTAAGTTGGTCTATCTTTTGACTAACAAACATTTCAAATCACCATTATAACTTATTTCAAACTCTACCACTGTGAATTACAGACAACTGTAATATCTTTATGCAGCAGTGGGTTATATTTAATGAGCCTTAGGATTTTTGGTTTAGACATTTATATTTCACCTTACTAACACATGTTGATTAGATAAAATTTGGAAAATGCAGAAAAATAAAAGAAGAAAATTAAAAAGCAACCGTGTTTCCATTAACCAACAAACCTCAATCATCTGCTTTGGAAGAAGAAATGCTATAGTAAAAATTTAAAACACAGAAAAAACCCAGTAATATCAATAACATAACCATCCAGGAAATAAATTAATAAGGAATTAAAAAACTTGTTCTCACCCTCTGTCCTTAAAAGTAAGCTTTTTCTTTATAGACTTTTATTAACATTCCCAAGATAAACATCATATTGTTTTGCCACAAATAGAGAAAATTACTCTGCTTAGTTCTCAGGGATATTTAATGTAAATTAACAGAGCTGACCTTCAGTGTGTCCCTGTTTGCATCAGGTAGGAGGATGACAAGAAGGTTCAAAGCCTGTAGTTGTTGCTTCTTGGTTGGAAGATCTGCAGACAGATTAAATAAATCTGAACACTTTTCTTTACCCAACATTTTCCTTTACTTTCTTTCTTCATTTTTTAAGAAAAAAGTTATTTGGCATAAACATTACTATAAAATGTAAGACACAATGACTGAGCAGCAAGCCTTGTTGAGAATGTGTTTGTGGGAGATCCGTAGAAGCAGCTGCTAAGAGCTTCCTCCCTCTCAGAATGCTCACTTCCAACTGTGATCATATGACGAGCAGCCTTATGTTTGCAGACACACAACAGTGCTTTGGAAATAATTTTAACTTCTGTGTGATAATTATTACCCAATGAAAAGACATAAAAGATTGGACCTTCCATGATATGGTATCAGGGGGCATCTGTAACAATGAGGTTTCTTTCTTTTAATGGTGGGTAAAAAAAATAAAAGGTGAGAGTCCATGAATTCCAACAGGAATGTGTAAAACAGGGCCTGGAACACAATAGGTGTTCAATAAATGTTTGTGGAATAAATGAGAACACCAAGCAGCAATTATGAAGAGGTCTAAGAAGTACATTGTTATCATTAATAATGTCATTTTCAGTAGCCCTTACCCCATTTGAGTAATATTTGTAGATACTTGGAATCATTCCAGTATTTCATTTTCAGTGATAAATTTGGTCCTTTAATCTACATCCAGGAAATGTAGGCAAAGAAGCACAATTTAACCATTAAAAAATATTTTAAAAAGAAGATTATTTCTTCTGTTTAAAAAAAAAAATCTGTTAAAAAAATACTTTAAACAGAAGATGATTTCAGCCATATCTCTCCTAGAAATTCTGAAGAAATGTGATGATACTAGGTGACTCTTGAAATCATCTCATATTGCATGCTTTGAGAATAGCCTAGAACAGTTCTGGTTGACACTCTAGTTCACCATACTCATAA